GCTACTCGCTACCACGACTTTCTAATCGGGACTTAGTTTCATCCTCTTTAGTGTTTTTTTCTTTCTTTTCTTCATTTTTGTTGAGTAACCTAAACACATGGGTATCCTACCTTGGACATAAATCATCGCCTTTGGCCATCATTTTGCAGACCATCTCGAAATACAGTCGGCAAAATCCTAAGTTGTTCCCTACCACCGTTTCCCAAAGCCGCTACCACGAGTTTTGTATCTGGACCGAGTTTCATCCTCTTTAGTGTTTTTTCATTTTCATTTTATGTTCCTTTTTGTTGAGCATGATCACAATTGAATCCAAACACATGGGTATTCTAATTCAACACAAATGATTGCCTTTGCCCACCATTTAACAGCCCATCTCGAAATTGTCAGTGGAATCCTAAGTTGTTCCACACCATCAATTCCCAAGGCCGCTACCACGAGTTTTATATCGGGACCGAGTTTCATTCTCTTTAGTGTTTTTTTCTTTCTCTTTTTCCTTTTTGTTGAGCATGATCACAATTGAACCCAATGCCACTACCGAAAATTCATACCATATTTACTCAATGTTGGCGAGTTTAATATCAGGGCCAAGTTTTGTTCGCTTTAGTGTTGATTTCTTTCACTTTTTCCGTTTTGGTTGAGAATGACAATTGAGTCCAAACGTATGGGTATACAACCTACTTCGACCTGACCAAAGCGACTTGAGCCCGCTTTTACAAGTTTTCGGCGGGATCGAGTTTTATCTGTTTTTGTAATTGGCGTTTTGTGTCAGGTGTGAATTTGTCCAAAACTCGGTCCAACCAGGTCAAAGCGAGTTGAACTTGGTGTTGACGAGTTTTGAGTCGGTAGCGAGTTTTAACTTTAGTGTTTTTCATTCCGCTTTTTCCTTTTGTTTGAGAAAGACAATTGAACCCAAATCCATGGGTATCCAACCTACTTTGACCCGATCAATGCGAGTTGAACCTACTCAAACCTGCAATCAGTCCAAAATTTTCATAAAGGAGAACCACGATGACCTCAAACCCAAAAAATTCCAAAAGAGTACGACTATGTTTGGCCCGAAATTTAGAAGTTTTATGTTTCAAAAGTTGAAGCCAAGCCAAGCACCTCTAAAGTTTTGCTTTTTAAAAAACTGAAGTTTTCGTAACTTAAAAACAAAAGCTCCGATTTGAAAATATAAAATTGTCTTTACCATATATTATTCTTTTTCTAGAATAGCATTATTTAATATGAAAAATAATATTATTTAATATGAAATAAATCTAAAGTGATCCATTTTAAATACTTTTTTATTTTTGGAATTTGTATTCATATTGTATGTTAGAAATCTTTTTTAGTCATTTTTCATGACCTCTTATATGAAAAAGTAATTTTGATAGTTTTTCAGCTAAACACTCAACAGTTTTTTTTAACTTTTGAAAAGATCCAGAGAAGCTGTTTCATTCTGCAAAAGTTACTGAAGGATCCATTACTAGCCATATAAATTGAAGCGTCATGAAAGAAGTTTAAACATACATAATCTATTTGATGACCCTTCTACCTTGTGCAAGTTCATCGACCATATGCTATTGTAAGTAACAAACCTATAAAAAAGAATGATTAAGAATGAAATAGGATTACTTTTACTTTTATTTTTGGGTCAACATTAAACTATTACTATTTAAAATATTTATTTTTCTAATACGCGAAGCGATAGGGAGCGGGCTTTTGCTAGTACTATATATTTGACAGTAGGCAACCTATAAATAGCTATTGAAATAACACATTTTTCACAAACGGAGGGTTCACAGGAAATTTTGCATTTTTATGCGTTGATGTTATTTTCTCATATAATTTGGTTAACGCGAAGCGTAGTGAACAGACTTTGCTAGTCCTACCTCCTATCCTACCAATAATATATGGAGGTTCTGTGTCATCACCTCCTTAATTCGAATTTTGCAGCCTTCTCCGCATAGCTAGGAAGGATTGCTTTGTCTTTTCCACATCTCATATACTTTGGCGTTTGTTAATTTCTGGATTTAATTAGGTGTTGTGGGCTTGGCCCATAAGAAGTAAAATCAATTTACCGGTGCTACTAAGGTTATTCATCCCAAGCAGTAAGTGATTTCGCAGTAGGTGATTTCTTTCCCTCCAATTATTCAAATTGGATTATATTTTCAGTTTGAAAATTTTATGCCGGAAGGACTCATAAACTTATAAGACATACTTATGAGATAATGAAGTTGTTTTTAATTTTATAGATGAAACCATCTTGATTTATGAAATTGTACCATGTACATAATGTTGTTGTTAAATAAATCAAAATAAAATGTACACTACATCGGTTAAAAACCGATCCAAAGCATAGGATGTATTGTAGGTTGCCAGTTTTATCGCTTAAAACTACTTGACAATTTTCATAGCATTTGTTCAGTATGTAAACATGGTCTACAATAGGTGGTTTTTATGATTTAATTGGCCAGTATGTCATGATAGATTATCCACGGAAGCAATCGTGCAAAAAATCACGAGACACGTGATATTCGTCCAAATAAATTTGGCCATTAACCGCTTGGTTAGGATCAAGGACAAAGGTCGAACACATTATTAATTTTCAACATTATCGATTGTGGTTTAGGTCACTCTACTTTGAAAATCTAAGCTAAGGGGATAATTAAAGGTTTAAGGAGAATAAGAATTAAGTATCTTAGTTAAGAAAGGTAAGCAAATGGCCTAGAATGACCTCTACCAACGTATAGATAGCTTTGGTTGCATTAAGGCATGAATCACTTGGTTATGGTTTAGGACAAAGGTGTAACACATTATTAATCATCAACATTATTGTTTGAGGGTTGAGTGACTCCACTTTGAAAACCTTACCAAATGATCTAGCATGGCCTCTACCAATGTATAAAAATCCGTGGTTAAGGACTAAGCTAGCAGGTAAGGATCCTTGGGGAATTTGTTAGTTTAGAGTTGAGTATTTTGACGTAGATGAAAGAAAATTTAGTGAAAGATTGTGTACTTTAACAATTTGGCTAAAACATATAATTCACATTAGTCTAGAACTAAGCATCAAGAACCTTTACTAAGTTGTCTATCGTGCAATTTTCTCTATTTTTTTCCTTTGGCCAATAACGCATAACATTTAGATTTTATCACTATTTTTTGCTCGGATCTTTGTATCTTTACCTTGATATATTTTAATAGTTTTCAATTTCATGATTCAATGTGTATATTGAATACAAAAAGTATTAAGCACATATGATCCAATATTCTATGTCCAAAAACAATGAAACTAGATATAAAATATGCGCCACGTAAAATAAAAATGGTTTGTTCAAAAAAATAATGAACATATTTTTATGAATATATATGAAGAGATATTCATCAAACTTATGATAGTGTAAGGATAATTCGTAATCATAAAGTAGGGGTTCATTTGTCTAATGCTTTATGCTTAGAAAAAAGAAAATTTGAGGTCATTTAAATATTCCAACGCAATATAATTTGGCCAACGGCCGGGTACCGAGCTAGTATAATATAATATAAGAATGGCCCAGGTGATATGCCCAATGGCCTCCCCGGCACACCTATTGGTCATCCCTGAGTTAACCATAATAATTTTAGTATGATAATCCAATCCCAAGATCCATGAGGGTGGAAGAGGCCAGAGGGTAATTCACTAACTGACTCGCCTTGTTTTTTCCAAAAACAAAAAAAAAACCCCATTTGGCGTAGATGGATAGCCTACCCGGAGTGTCGTAACACACATCCGTTGTGAGATTCTAACAGTTAATTTCATCCTAAGTGTTCAGTTTCCCGCCGTAACTATGTACTTTGTTATTAGGGACAAATTTAGGCCTATAGGGATACAAACATAGAAGGAAAACGTGTATCGTCCTAAGCCGGTAAGCTCGAGACCTTTGACCTCGTCTTTCATACCCAATTAAGACAAAACTAACCCAGTTGATACATTGTTTGTACCCAAATTACCAACTTTCCTCCCTCTATATAAACGACTCCATTGACGACCTCCTAGTCCCACAACAGTCAAATCCAATACCAACATCTCGCCACCAACCATCAATCGCCTCTTTCTTCCACAAATTTTCAGAATGGCTAATGATCATCATTATGCCGTCTTCACGAGCGTCATAGCTCTAGCTCTCAGCGCATGTACTCTCACATTAGCCATGGATGCTCTTCAGGATTTCTGCGTGGCCGATCTCAAGGGCTCTCCAACAATCAACGGGTTCGCCTGCAAGGATCCCAAAACTGTCCAAGCAAGCGATTTCTCCTTCGGTGGCCTCCACATTCCTGGCAACACCTCCAACGCATTTGGCTCTAAAGTCACTCCCGCATTCGTGACCCAGATTCCCGGACTTAACACGTTCGGAATCTCGATGGCTCGCGTGGATTACGCTCGTGGAGGGATCAACCCTCCCCACACGCACCCTCGAGCCACCGAGATTCTCACGGTCATTAAGGGCACGCTCGAGGTTGGTTTCGTGACGTCGAACCCTGAGAATCGCCTCGTTTCGAAAGTCCTTCGCAAAGGTGATGTGTTCGTCTTCCCGATCGGGCTGGTTCACTTCCAGCGCAACACTGGGCATCGGAATGCTGTGGCTATTGCTGCGTTGAGCAGCCAGAACCCGGGGGTTATTACTGTTGCTAATGCGGTTTTCGGATCCAAGCCTGACATTCCTACTGATGTGCTTGCCAAGGCGTTCCAAGTTGATAGGAGTGTTGTGCAGAAACTTCAGGCCAAGTTCTGAGGCGTTTACGGTGAAACAGATATATGATCGATTCAGAGACTAAACCATATGACGATCAGTTCAATGTTTTCTTGTTTTGGCGATATAAATTGGTGGATTTATTAAATTTTTTTATGAATTTTGCTGCTATACGCAAGTTGGATCAGTGATGGATTTAACATTGTATCGCTTACAGTATTTGTTAAAAAGGTAACTTAATTTGCAAGTTTGAGAGCTAAATTGGTACAATAGAAGAGCTGAGAGATATTGGCTGCAAGAGTTTCTTATCATTGATGAACAAACTTAATTATGGAACAGATCGGCCACTCAAATAATTATTATTATTCTAAAAAGAACAGTAATGTTTTATAATATGAGATGGGTAGAAACCAGAACAACATCATAGTGACCCCAAAACAGAGGCAGGCCTTCAGCCTCAGGATAAAAATCAATAGCTTCTCTGAATGGTCTGAACCAGATAGCTGCTCGCTCTTCTATTGCCCACTAACATTCAGCCCGAAGCTTCTCTTAAGAGTGGTCTTCCTTGTTTTGTTCATACAGATTCAGGCAAAGTAAGCGAGCTGATGAAGTGTCGTGGTGGCAGATGCATTGCTGCTGCCAACTGCACTTTCTGGTATGTACAAGAACAACCCCGAAAAGATATGGTTGTTTGGGAAACGTGGAGATCCTGATAATGCCAGCGCTTTTCTTCGTCAAGTTTTCAGCCTAACCTTAAGGATGAGGTGCACTTCCCTCTTGAATATTGACTTCAGCTCTTCGTTAGCTTCTATACCTATTCTCCTGTGAAGGACAAACCGACACGACACATCAGAATAAATGGAAATTGCTCCTATATCAAACATACCCTAGATAAGCTGTGATTATGCTAGAAAATGAGACAAAAGCTGACTCTTGAAGATTTAGAGAGATTCTGGTTAGCAACCAAGTACCCTATTTTGCAACCACCCTTGCCAACGAGAATCTTCCGCTGGCTTAATTTGTTTGTGATAAAGTGCTGCTCTATCCTGAGTGACCCATCCCTCAGTTCCTTCCAGTCCATCAACCGATGTTCGATGCTATATGGGATTTCCTGAAATGAAAGCAGGATGGATTCAGTGGTACCCAGCACAAGCAATCCTTGGGAGAATAACAACAATTGTTTGTCAATTAGGAACATTTAGAGTTTTACCTGATGAACATGGTCTAATAATCTTTCCCGGACAACTTCTAATGACACGTTCTTCATCACTTCTTCACCCAACTCAAGAGGATCTTCATCCCAGGGTCTTTTAATTGCCTAACCACGCACATAAAAAGGTTCCGAAATCAGGACCAACAGAATTATTATTCAAATAAGCATACGCAGGTAGCAATGAAATTATGGGAAGTGGGCACATTAAGGAAGCAAGAGTTGAAGACTATTAATTTATGAAAACCTTTCTTTATCTATGCATCACTGCAATGCTTTGCAAAAAAAAAAAAAATTATTGTTTTCATGAATGATCTGGAAAACTATTACTGAAATAGTAGCCCTGAACTCAGTTTTTGGTAATGCTCGGCACCAATATCCAAAAAAACAACCTTGTAGTTCATCCATCTAACACCTAGGCAAAAATTTCGACAAGGATTCAGGAAAGAAAACAAATAAAAATTCACTCGACGAAACAAACAGGGTCATCGGATATGGGAACTAATTAATAACTAGGAAGCATTTAAAACTCACATCATTATTAAATTTTTCTGTTTATATTTTATTATGTAAATGAAACTTGCATTCAGATTGAAGGAACTGGAAACAATACGATCATCCGAGTGGAAAGCTTCAATTTGAATAAGACCGTCAATAGCAAGTTCCAGAAGTAAAGAAAATGAATCACAATGGACAAAGTTACTAGCACCTAATTGCATAAAGCTTAATGAAACATGCCTGTGTCGTCAAATACAGTGTAAGATCTTTTACTCCAACACCCTTTAGCCCGGATATCAGGAACTGCCTAAACAACAGAATTGGAGAAATCATCAGACAATTCTAGCATGGTATAAAGGTACATCGGAACTCAAGAATTCCCTTACCTGTCGTAGCCAGGTAGATCTTTGAATTGTTCTATGACCTGTACCAACTCTTTCTTCTTTTCAACTAGGTCAACCTTATTCATGCATAATACCCTTTTCTGCTTTGCATCTTCCTGTTCTCCCAACTTTTTAACCAGCCTTATCACCCTCGAATCGGGCCTGATACAAACAGAGAAACACAAGAATCGGAAAATTTACTTCCCTCGGGTAAAAGAAGGACCATTCAATCAAGGGTTTCAAACTATTGTGTGGAAAACAGACCAAAGCTCTGTATTTCTTTCATGCCCCATATTTACTTAAAAGTGATATAGCTCCAACCAACTGAATATACAGTCGAGGTTAAGTCAATAGATACTAACCTGGTCAGGTGCCTGTGAACGTCAAAAATAACTATGAGGACATCATACAGCCCAATTGTGCTCCAAGCATTTTCCACCCGTGTCTTCACATCTTTGTAAGCATACCCACGACTATTTAGCATGAGACCAGGAGTGTCGAAGAAACACTGGATGCAGAAATCATCAGCCATGATCAGATAATAATAACCATGGCAATGCAAAGGACAAGGGGATTGCTTTTTGATTCATCATAAATAATAAGTTAATAATGAACATGGCAATGCAAAGGACAAGGGATTGCTTTTATATAAACTTCTTAGCAGAGCTTGAAACCATTATCTTTCAAGGTGAAATGAATGGTGACTTTTCATTTTGCTATTAAGTAATCACGCCTTCCAGTTAAGCGGATAAATTTGTAGTTTCCTTACGCTGACAGTGCCATTACCTCATATGCTGGGATAACAGTAGACAGAAAACATACTCAAGCTACTACCAACTAAAATTCGTTTCAAAGGCATACGGAGAAAGATGGATGCTGAAGTTAGTTGAGATGAAAAAAGTCTACAGTTGATACGGAAAATGTTAACCAGTGAGAGAGGCTGATTTCTGTTTATGTAGGCTAGTAAAATAACAGCGCAATTTGTATAACTACCAAGCAATGGTGCATTATATAAACCAATGGAACAGGACTTCTAATATAAGGTTTGAAGACATAGTTCCACGGAAACATGCCAGGAAACAAGATAATTATTATCCATAACATATAATGTGAATAAAAAGGCAATGAATGGACGAGAATTGCGGCAACTCAGTAAATGGAAAAAGAAACATACGATCTGGGTATCTCCTTCCGTCATTACCCCCAGTACTTCATGAATAGTGGTATTCGTTTTTCGCGACACAGCAGAAACCTTTGTTCCCACCTACATAGCATAATAAAGCAGCAGTGAGAATGGCAAGAATTTCCAGAATATAAAGCTCGAGCCAAAACAGGACGAGCAAGCTAATCTATAAATCACAATCAGAAGTGTAACTTGCAGCAACTGCGTTGAATTGTAACTTATCAGGGAACCAAGTTGGGTGTATATCCACTAAAGAGCACACAATTTCACCCATAGATCCTATGCTAGACCAGTGTCATAGTAGTCTCAACTAAACCTTCCTTAAACCCTCAAAGCAAAACTACTCTGCAGACTCTAATTTCACAAAACTACATATTTCCCCATTTTGAGAATAACCCAACAATACATTGTAAACGAGTAGCGGAACACAAACCATGTAATTCGTTAAGGACGATTTCCCAGCATTAGGAGCACCAATAATCCCGACAGAAAGAGACTTCTGGTCTTCTTCCCTCACCAATTCCTCCTCTTCGTCATCTCCCTTAAGTGCAGCCTCGAGCAAGGCTCTGGCCAGCACTCTCCGCTTCAAATCGTCCTCTTCCTCGTGAAGCGCTGTCTTCAGCTTACTTTTCTGGGTTTCTTCCCCAAATATAAATTTATCGGCTTTCTCTCTGTACTTCACATCCCAGGTGGGTTCTAGGAGGGTTTTAGAAGAAGAAGTAGCAGAGGCATCAGGATCAATGGCGGGAATCGCGTAGTGGCTGCTATCGAAGGCGTCGTTATCACTACTGTCTTGGTGTTGCGGGTGAGCTGTGAAACAGCGGGCGAGGTGAGTTGGGTTTTGCGGCAAGGTATTGGAAGGTCGCCCAGCGAGCGATGCCAAGACTCTGAGAACTCTGAGAGATTTCATTCTCTGGAACTTCGTCGGGTTTAGCAGAAAACCATCTACCGCTTCGCTGTAGCAGAAGGGAAATGAGCACTCCGTCGCTTGTCGGATAGAGAGGAGCTAACGAGTTTTTAACACCATTCCGTCCCGTGATATCAGCGGAGCAAGAAGAGAAGATTAGGGTTACAGAGAGACAGACGAGTAAGAGTAACAACGAAAAGTTAAAGAGGAGAACCGGGCGGGCAGACCAGTAACACATCGACCCCGTCAACATTCGGTTCGGATTTGATTCAACCGCATTCGTGTTATAATCAAAAATTGTGAAATCATACCGGAGATTATATTGGAAAAGTCAGTGATAAGGTATGTTGTATTAAAATTATAAGTCAATCATGATTCAACCATTTCCTAGCACTGGTTATAATTCATCTGAATTACGAGTTCATCAAGTTGCAAGATAATTAAGAGTTAATCGACTAGCAAATAAAATTAGTGAGTGATCGAGTTGTGAGTTATTTGAAGTCAACTCGTCAATCAAATTACGTACTACCCAGGATCTTATTGGAAGACTACGATACAAACAAAATTTTGACCCCTGAGTGTAGGTTCAACCCAAAAATATGGTCGGTTTGTATAGATGGTTAATACGAGAACCAAATAAGAAAGCTGGCAGCCTGGCACATTACAAAGTCGGCAGTCTGCACTACTTACAAATCACTATACTGGCCAGGTTCACTGAATCTCACAAGTCACAACCCAAATGCCTCTCTTCCCTTTATTTCCAAACCATGTCTTTAACTCCTTCCCAAGAAGGCACAGAAGACCGAAGCCCTCATCTTCCCATCTCTAAAACTCTGGCCATGGTTCACCATTGCTCATAAGCTAGATGGCTGATATTCAAAGGTTACACAAACCAATAAAATTGTTAGCAGCTATGGAGCTTCTTGTCATTCGAATTCCTCTTCAAGTCACCCATTCTGATTCAGAGTCAGAGATGTTGGCCCTTTTCGACGACTATGGCGGTGGCTGATGATCAAGCTTTGATGATATGATATGGGCTCAGCCTGCTGGGTTGAAGGCTCTCAAAATTGAGTTCCCCCATCCAAAAACTTCAGTATTCTAATGCTTATTTTACTTTCACTCTCTTCATCTATTTCCCTTTCAGAGAGATTTGAGTTAATAATTTTGTTGGGTTTGAGTGTTTGAGCGATTTGAATGCTTGACTGCCCATTCTGTCAATGAGTTCATGGTTCTTGCTACCACCTTGCTCAATGCTCATGCCTGTTTGGGAGTACTATTATATAATAACTAGGTGGAATAGGCCGCACTTTGTTGCGGCTTCCGATTTTTAATCTTCGTTTGTGAAGGGAAAAAATAAAGTGATCAATCATGTTTAACTTGTTGGTCATGTCGATTAAGTGTGTTGAGAGTTAATGATCTGATTGTTTTAGTATGATTTAATTTTGATAAATGAAAAAAATCATTATATATATTTATAAATTATATCAAATCTCACTTAACATATGAATACTAACATATAACATTGCACCAAAATAACATATCGTATTTGAATCCAACATACAATGAAAATTGGGTTAATTGCATGGTTGGTCACTGAGATTACAAAAAACGTTCAAGTTTGGTTACTCGAAATATTTAAATTCATTGGTGGTACTTCAGTTTACTGAAACCGTTCACGTTTGGTCACTCTCCGTCTAACTCCGTTAACTTTTGCTTATGTGGCAGTCAACTCTAAAAGTTGACCGTTAAATGTGTGACGTGTCAATTAAAAAATAATTAATTAAATAAAATTTATTTTTTTAAAATTTCCACCTCATTTCTAAATATTAAAAAAATATAAAAATATATATTTGTGAAAATGGGTTCAACAGACAATGGGTTCTGAAACCCTAACAATGGCGGAGAGAATTTGTGAGAGAGGTGAGGTGAGAGAGAAGATGGGATCGATGAAGGGAGAGTGATTGTGAGGTCTTTGGCTTATGGTAAGGTGGTTTTATAATGTAATCAACACTGGAAGGTCGGTGATTGCCTCCGACGGTAGAATTGAAGGTGGTTTTATACGCGTCAAAATTCACCCCCTGAGAGCGGCGCTTTCGATTCGCCGGCGATGGCCAAGTATCTGAATCCCGATCTCGAATCCGGATCCGAATCCGATGAAGAAGAAAGCTTAAGCGACATCGACGACGACGAGATCTCCGATTGCCAAAACCACAAGAGGCTAGTGGAACTGAAGGCGAAGGCTTGGAACATGATGCATTGTCAATACACGAATAGAAAGCGAGACCTGGAAAACCTGCCGGCCGATGCCAGGAAGGAGGCCAAGACCGGTCCTTCCCCTGCTGCCCGAAAGGAAAATGAGAAGAAGGCGGCGAAACCCACGCCGTCTTTGAGTTCGAAGATCAATTACGAAGCGGTGATCCGCAGCATTTCGATCGAATTGGGGTAACTCGCTACAGCCTGCATCATGGCAATTACGACAGGCCGGAGCAGATCCGAAGCTCGATCACGTGGATCCGCTTCTCCCCGGCGACGTTCTCCATCAAGATCTGGATGGCGGCGAGCTGGGAGGCGGTGTAGAACGGGACTTTGGTCCGGAACTCCATCGCGCTCTTGTCCGGGAGAGTCACCGTCATGTCGGATTCGAGCGGCTTCCGATGATCGTCGTGTTCCAATTCGCCGCTGCGGCGGGTTTCTTGCGCCGATTCACTGCTCATTTTCCATTAAGGCTCGTTCTTACCAAGAGAAATTGCAAGAACTTCCATTGTTGGAGTGCTCTGTTTTCTGCCCCAAAAGGTAAGAGCTTGAGACCTTACCTTTGGCGAATTCGTTTCTTACCCAATTTTGAAAACAATTCATGTTTCTGACGCAGAAGAATCAATCCATAATGGGGGCCAAAAGGGTGAAGATTGAGCTGATAAAGAACGAGAGGAGCCGATGATCGTCACGTTCTTGGATTCCTTATTGGTGAGTCCGATGAGGAGGTGAGGGACGTCGATTCCTTCGCCGGCGAAGAATAGGAGAGAGGATTTCCCGTTGGTTCTTAATTTTACTATTTTATTTTTTTAATATTTAGAAATGAGGTGGAAATTTTAAAAAAATATATTTTAATTATTTTTTTTCTAATTGCCACGTCACACATTTAACGGTCAACTTTTAGAGTTGACTGCCACATAAGTAAAAGTTAACTTAGTTGGACGGAGAGTGACCAAACGTGAACGCTTTTAGTAAACTGAAGTACCACCAATGGATTTAAATATTTCGAGTGACCAAACTTGAACGTTTTTTGTAATCTCAGTGACCAACCATGCAATTAACCCATAAAAATTCATTGTATTCAAAAGTTCAATTTAGAATTCAATAATAGGGGTAGGGCAAGAGAAAAACAAAAGAAATGCCCATTTCACAAAGTCAAGAAAAAAATGACACAACACGGCCTACAACCCAAAAATCTTGAAACCGACAAACCTGTAAATTTGTATAGTCCATTTTTCTCACTTGATAAGGATCAAACAGATGGACCTGTGTTGACAACTTTGAGAAGAATTAAGCGTAAATATATAAGAAAATTAATTACATTCTCAATCCTTCCTTTAAAATCCTATATGGACGTTCCCCATGGGACTCAAGAAATGGCCTCTTGGTAATTGTGGAGGAAGCTCTTTTATTTTTCTCCCTGCGAGACTCAAGGAAGGGCCTCTTAGTAATTGTGGAGGAAGGTTTTTTTTTCGTGCAATCTCACTTTTGTTACTTAACTTGCTTCCTCTTGGGATGGGTTAGCATGCTAACCCCTCTAAGGGGTTGGAAAAATGACACCCCCTAGTGTATTAAATACAACTATAGAATTTAATACACACATTAAATACACATTAGAAATTAAATGCACCATATTAATTATTATCTTTTTTTTTCAAATTAAAACCTACACTAAATATATTCTCTCTCCCTATATCTGATTTTTCCTTTTTCAGCAGCCTCTGACCACCAGACTTCCTCCGACCGCCACACTTCTCCGGTGAAAATCTCATCGGCAGACTCCCTCCGACCACCTGCAAAAAATATACCACTGCACTGATACGTTGTACCACTACACTGGTAGCTACCACTGCACTGATAGTGATATCAGTGCACTGGTACCAATGTCATATATGAGTATCAGTGCAGTGGTACAAGTACCAGTACAGTGGTACAACATATCAGTGCAGTGGTATATTTTCGCAGGTGACCGGAGAGAGTCTGTCGGCGGATTTTACCGGCGAAATGTGGTGGTCGGAGGAAACTTGGTGGTCGGAGGCTGCTCGGAAAGGAAGAATAGAGATAGGAGAGAAAGATCAAAGATGAGAGAGAGAATTGTATTTTTGTATATGTTTAGATTTTATTTAAAAAAACGAGTAATTAATGTGGTGTATTTAATGCTTACTTTGTATTTAATAACAGAACATTTATTATGATTACTTTCATTAATACTAGTCAATAATTCATAAAAAATTGACCAATTAACAAGGGGGTGTCATTTTTCCAACCCCTTAAGGGGTTAGCATGCTAACCCATCCCCTTCCTCTTCTACCTACGTTTTGGCTAAAGCAGAATATGTATGGGTTTAGCCATAGTTTGTTACTTGGTTCGCCTAATTTCCCTTCAAATCCAACTAAAAAGATATACGCAAATTCAAATCATAATGATCTATTAAAACATAGGGGTTGTTTGGAGAACAAGATTTGGATCATTGATTTATCGAATTCACAAATTTAGCAAAATGTTATGTTTTTTGGCTACTATTTGAATCTTGGATTGTAGTTTCGGAGATTTTAAATCTCTAAAAACTAGAGATATCAAATCTCTCATAATTAGAGAGATTCTACATCTTGATTTTGGAGATTTTCTCCTCATGTTATATCTATTCTTTGTTTTTATTTATCGCACCAAATACCCTTATCAATAAATTCTCAATATTTTTCGAGTCAATCTAATTATTTTGGTTAAGGATAAACATGTCATTTAATACAAAAATAGAATTTCTTTTTTCATTGGACGTTAACAATCGTGGTTATCAAACAATGAACATTTAAAAAAAAAAATCGGAGAGTTAAAATCTTTGGATTGTCTAGAATCTATAGATTTAGACTCCAATTCAGATAACGAATTAATCGGACGATAATCTAATTGGAATGGATAGAGTTTTAATACATAATCTAACTTACAAAATACAAGGGTTTATCATGTGGGTTTCATG